CAACTTCCAAGTTGCTGCCAAAGAAAAGCTTCCCCACAGCATACCGCTGCCACTACCAAACATTAATGTACAATAGAGATTGTGGGCTCAGGGTATAATGTACGGTGATTGCTTTTCGCCATGCATTGTTTGGATTATGGGCTAAAATTTAGCATGTTATTTCATTTAACCAGAGAGTCTTTTGTTCTTATGGATTTGCTTTGGAAAATTCAAAGAAAAACTTCTTTCTTTCAAAAAATCCTTTACAGAATTATTAAGTTCAAATTGTAAACAGGTGGAATTTAGAATAACTTTAAAAATTAGGGGCTGAGGTCATTTAATTATTTTAAGTCCTTGTTTTCTTTGCAATTTAGGTATTTATTCACTGTTGATAGCAATGGAAAATATTAAGGTTGAACAATTGGAGGAGCTCTGTAATAATTTTACCTAACCTCAACATTTAGAACAATTGTTAACTTTCCTGGTATTTTTGTGTGTTTTAAAACAGCAAAAGGAAATATAATCAGTCTTCACATGGATCTTGAGGCCGAAACAATGTAGTAGTTGTGGATTGCAGTTCTGGAATGTGTGCTCTACAACCTGCCTGTAAGCTGCTGTGTGTCGTGACTGCTGTGAAGTGTGAGCTACTGTGTTGTACTTCTATTCAGCCTTTTCCAGGACCTCAGGGCTCAACAGCAGGCTAGCATTCTTAAGAAGTGACTGAAAAGACACTGGGCTCAAATATCTGTCAGCTGCATGTGCTTTCAAATTAAGCCATTTTTTCTTCAAATCTAACACTTCTGACATTCTTCTTTGCCCCTGTGCTACGAGTGAATAAAAGTCATCTTTCACCTATCCCACCCAGCCAAACAAAGTGCTAGCTTTCTGCTCATTCATCTCCTACCACTGCAGCTGCTGTTTGGCATTCAACAAAAGTCACCTGAGCCAGTCTGTGTCAGGCTTTCTCAAGCTGACCTTTAGTTAATTGGTATATGGACACTGATCTTACCGTCGTTGGTTTTCTGTAAATTTCAAGCACCTGTTTTTAAATCTATAACCATGGGGCTGGAATACATTTAATATCAGAGAATCAGAGAAAAAATTTCAACAAAAGCATTGTTGATATTGTAAGGGGATATCAATCCTTTCTCTGCAGTAAATTGCAGTTTGTTTTCAGCTTTTCATTTAGCCGCAGTGGTGTAAATTATATAAATGCTGATGCTGCCGTAAGTTTAACTGTATATCACAGTGTATTTTACAACATCATTTTACTAGTTAAGTAAAAATCTGAAACATTCATCATGTAGATAGTTCACAATTTGGAGGGTTTATACTCTGAGTGTAAGAACTTTGGAAATCTAAAATAAGAAATGTAAAAAATAAGAATGAAAAATAAATACTGGAGTTTTAGGGAAAAATCCAGATGTGTGCATAGCTTAATGATTTGTTATATATAATAATGTTATAGGCAAGAAACTTTGTATATCCATGATATATCCAAGCAATGTTTAGTGTGAGGGATGGTTTGGGTTATGACTTAAAACAGACAGTAAAATATAAATGAATTTTAAAAATAACATAAAAAATATGCATTTTTGGTAGATAAAGCTGAGGATGAGTTGTAGTGAGATTTCTTCTGTGTATTTTTCTGGGCTCATTGACAGTTATTTTAACTTAGCATAATGTCTAATATTGTAATTAGAAATTTGGGATGCCAGTATTATTTTGGGGGAAAATAAAATGACAGAAGTCTGTACCTTTACTTATTCTTTTTCAAACAGTCTGTTTGCCTGACTAATACGTTTTTCTCATGGAAACAACTTGTATACAATGTTAAGACATGAATGTCCTTACAAACAATATATATATCGAAAGCCTAATTAAATTCAACCTTTTTTTATTGATCTCAAAGGGAAATTAAATAAATATATGTTTAGTGTGCACACCGACCAAATGCTTATTATTCTAATAGTTACATTTTGGCCAGAAGTTTGTTGAAATTAATATCAAACAAAATGTTTAAATCTTTTGAAATATAAAAAAAAAAGAGCAGTAAGTGCTGTTACAACCTAACATGCTAAAATATTTTATTTATCTGCCATCTGTTGTTTCCCTTTTAAAAGATTTTATTCAAAAGATTATTTTCAAGGCTCTGAAAAAAAATTTTTTAATGTGCAATTTTAACATCAGTTTGGAATATACGGAGCCCCTAAAGGGACATGAAGGAAAAAAAAAACTTTTGCGAGATCTTGCAAACGTTTTTTTTTTCCTCCATGTCCCTTTAGGGGCTCCGTAGGAATAAGCAGTATTTCTGGGAGAAAAAAAAATTAACTAATTTAAAAAAAAGTGAAATTGGAGGATTTGAGGAATCTGATGAACTTAAAACATGCAAAGATAAAATAAAAACCATTGACAGAAAAAACATAAGTGTTAAATGTGAAAGTTTAAATCAGTCAGAATAAGAATCAGAAATGCTTTAATAATCCCAGACGGAAATTACTTTTGTTACATGCTCCAGATAAAGTCTTAACATTTAGTTGTTTATTAGTTGAAATCATTATTAGATTTCCATCCATCCATCCATCCATCCATCCATCCATCCATCCATCCATCCATCCATCCATCCATCCATCCATCCATCCATCCATCCATCCANCATCCATCCATCCATCCATCCATCCATCCATCCATCCATCCATCCATCCATCCATCCATCCATCCATCCATCCATCCATCTTCTTCCGCTTATCCGGGGTGGGGTTGCAGGGGTAGCAGATTCATTGGGGAGGATCAGATGTTCCCCTCTCCCCAGCCACTTAGGCCAGCTCCTCACCCTATAACTAAGGGAGAGCCCGGACACACTATGGTGAAAACTCATATTAGCTGCTTGTATCCGGGATCTCGTTCTTTTGGTGATGACCCAAAGCTCATGACCATAGATGAGAGTAGGAACGTAGATCGACTGGTAAATCTAGAGCTTTGCTTTTTTGCTCAGCTCTCTCTTCACCACAACAGACCGGTACAGAGCACGCTTCACAGCAGACGCCGTACCAATCCGCCTATTGATCTCCCGCTTCACCTTCCCCTCATTTGTCAACATTATTAGATTTACTTTGATAAATGGGGGCTGTGCAAAAGCAAACTTATTATTAATTTTCCTTAAACTGTTAGAAAAACTGATACTAAAATAATGGATTACTCAGACAGTTCAATATTAATTCAGGGGATTACTGGTTTAATCAGTTAATGTCTGTAAAATCCTAATGTATGTCAGACAATAAGACCAAATTATTACAGGTAATCTTTTGTTGCATCTTTTCCTGTAAAATGCTGCACATAGAATAGAATAGAATAGAATAGAATAGAATAGAATAGAATAGAATAGAATAGAATAGAATAGGACAGAAAATCCCTTAATTGTCCCACAATGGGGAAATTCTGGTGTTTACAGCAGCAAAAAGTTTATAGAAAAAATTGTCACACAAATGTGGACCTTAGAAAAATGTATAAGAATAACATAACAGTGAAGAGTTAAACGATAAACAATATCAATTCATAGGTATTATGAAAAGACAAAAATGTTTTGCTCAACAAAACAAAATACAGTTGAGAAAGGGTAAAGGTTTTCTGATAAGAAAGAAAATAGCATTAATAACTGATTTAATCTTGGCTCAGAGACCATAGCTTAACACTGTTGCATTCCTCCGTGAGACAAAGACACATAGAAAACTCCCAGTTGTTCATGGCATTCACATGACTTTACTCATATAATGGGCCTTGCTGTGAAATGGATTGTAATTCAGTCTGAGAGATTCATCTGCTATAATGAAGTGGATTACAGAATGGCCTCATGGCTCTGAAGTGCTGCTGTTTATAGCTATTTGAGGTGCTGAATTGCTGTTTAAAAATACTTTAGTTAAGAAAAAACTGAAACAGTTTATTGTTAATGCAATTACCAGATTTTCAATGTTGAAGAATCCACAGTGAAGTGCATTCTTTTCCACATTTAGCATGTTTTATCAGTTTTCTTTTCAAATTGGTAAATTATCTAAAAGCTCTCTGTTGTTTAAGAAAAAAAAACAATCACTGATTTTATAAAAAAAAGGGACATCAGTACCCTGAGATTAGCATGGATGTTTACCATAGCAGGTCTTAAAAAAATATGTAAAGCCTAGTACATTGACTAAGTTCATACAGCACTTTACATTATGCCCACGTCCAGCCACATTCTTATGCATTTATGCAGCTTTAGGTTAGATGTCTTACCTGGGGGCATATCCACCTGTGACAGGAGGAAAGTGGACACAACCTTTTGATCTCAAGCCAAAGTATTCTTATCTGTTTTCCCCTTTTTTCATGATATGACCACAAACATGGGCTTGTATATGACAGGTCAAGACAGTTTAACACAATTATTACGAAATGTGTTGAATGTATTTAAAAATGTAAAGGAGAAAAAATATTGCATTTTTATTCCTTGCTTTTATGGTCAAGATTAGTGGTCTGGTGAGGCTAAACTGTAACCTTTTGGCCTATATGCAGAAAAGCTTTGTGTGGCAGGAAAAGTGAACCTTATTTCAAAGATGCTTTCTCTTAGTTGAAACATGATAGTGGCAATGTCATGCACTGGGTATGCTCTTCTTTAGCAGGGACAGCGAAGCCAGTTTTGAACGATGGATGCAGCTAATAAAAGGGAATCCTGAAAAACATGTAAATTTGCTAAGACAAAGTTCTAACACCAGTTTCTCTTTAAACTGCTTTTAGACCAGTCTGTTTGCTGGTTGCTTTCAGTCAAGCAATACAAAATGTAAGCCTTGTGAAAATTAATAGGGATTTTTTGTTCTTGAGAAGTCATTTTTGTTCTATTCCATATATCCCTTCACAGATTTAAGAAAAGTGCAGCTTTATCATCCCCACACATCCTCGGTCTCAGCGGCTTAGTTGGTCCTCTATTAAAGACCCTCCTCTTCAGGCCCAGCCGTCAGCCTCTCCTGTGAAGGAGCTCCTTTGTTCCAGCAACTATGCCAAAGAACACCAAGGTGACTCAGCGGGAGCACAGCAATGAGGCCGTCACTGAGTCTGTGGCTGACCTTCTGTCCCTGGAGCATCCCATGGACTATAAGAGCAGTCAGATGAGTATGGGGCTCAGTCCTGGATCCACTGCCCCAGGAAGGTCCCTGCTCCCTGAACAAGACTTAGAGGATGGCCGACCTGCATGGAACAACAAGTTGGAGTACATTCTTGCTCAAGTGGGCTTCTCAGTTGGTCTGGGAAATGTTTGGAGATTTCCCTACCTGTGCCAGAAGAACGGTGGAGGTAAGTAGAAAATGGATGTGTGCCAGCTCATGTTTTCTTTTTATTAAATAACACTTTCCCGAATTTTGAATTGCCATAATTTCTGGTTTAGTTTCAGCTGAGTTGAAACAAGCATATTCGGACTTTAACATGATGCCTTTTATTGGTTCTGTAAAATCCATAGACGGGACACCATTTCAATTTGCTGTTTAAATGTTGGTTTATCGCTTATGGTAAATTCTGAAACTATTCAGCTGTGATTTGAAAAGTATTCTCACATGTTAATAAAAAAATGGTAAACACTATCTGTTTAGTTTTATAAAACATTATTTTACAAAAAAATATTTACAGATTTATGCGGCTACAGGAAATGTGCCTCTTATCTCTTAAATTATCTGCTAGAATTCATATGATGATTTTAGACTAATTCAATTATCTTATTTAAAACACACATTTCTAGAATATCTATAATAAAATACAGATTTAATTCTGTCTAATGTTATCAAATGTAGAGGATTTATTAAATCTTAATCCTCCAAAATGACAGTCCAAAATCTATAGGAGTTTATCCAAAATAGATCAGTCTATATCACTTCCTACTGAAAAATGGAAGTTGATTTAACAATTATGCTTAAACAAAATTGTTGGTCTAAAATCTTTTAGAGAACCTTTACCATGACTAGAAATCCTAATTGACAACTCATTTAATATAAAATCCTTTATACAGTACACTATCTAGGTCAGCGGATGTTTAAGATGGGTTTTGCACAGCCTGATATCTGCTTGCAATGCTCAGGTTATGCACCAGATTGGTAGCCCCAGGGTGGGACTCCTGGAGGCTGGGTAGATGGTCTTGCAGGATCTGTGTCAGCGGACATGGTTTACCGGCCCTCTGGCTGTTTTGATGGATCTGGGGTGGGGTCCCTGCTGGTGGTTGTCGGCTTGTTTCTGAACCAATGTGGTGCCTAGCCCACTCTGGGGTCCAACGGGGCCCCTGCTGGCACTGGGGGCATTGATCTGGTGAGGAACATCCTTTATGCATTATCTAGCAGGTGTTCTTCCCTAGAGAGCACACCATCAGTAAGGGAGTGGAGGGAGGGATATCGAAAAAATAAATTATTTGTAAATGTATTTAATGAAGAATTTGTTCTATATGAAATAATCTCCAGAGGTTCTAGAAGATTTCCTAGAACAGAGCCAGCCTTATTTATCAGCTAGTTGAGCTTCATGATTTGATCTGATGCTGTTACTCCAGCAAATGAAGGCAGAAATAATCGCCCTCTCTACAATAGAGTTATGGAAGATATGCAGCATCATGCTGCAAACACTGAAGGACCTAAGCTCTCGTACAATCTGCTGTGTCCTTTCTTTTAGACGGCTGGATTTTCTGGAGTTTCTCACAAAGTAAGCCAGGCTGAATCATGTTAAATGCACTGGAGAAATCAAAGAACATGATCCTCACAGTACTGTCTGCCTTGTCTAAATGACACTGGGTTTGTTGAAGCAGGTGTACGATGGCAGCTTCAACTCCATGATGATAAGCAAACTGCAGGGGGTCCTGATAACTGCTTGCTCATTTGCTGAAGTGAACCAACAGAAGCTTCTCTAGGACCTTCATGATGTGGGATGTCAGGGCAAACCGGTCATTATTGATTGTGGGCTGACTTTTCTTTGGTACCAAAACACCATAGCAGATCTTGAGCAATTTGCTTTGACAAATGTATAATGTGCAATTACTATTTGATACCCTGTGCAATAACTTGTTTCTCTATGTTTGACATCCAGTGCAATAACCATATATATATATGTATATAAATATCCATCTATATAAATACCCATGTAAACACCCTGTGCAATAACCCTGTATAATAATCTGACTATAAAAAGAAAGATGCCCTATGTGGACACACTGTATATATCCCATGCACCTTTTTCTTCCTTTGGCACATTCTTCTTCTCCTTTGACTATTTAAGCTGATGTAACGAGTACATTTCTCCACTGTAAGATCAATAAAGTCAATTAATCAATCAATCAATCTTCCACATCGCTGGAACTGTGATGAACACTGTTAGGCTAAGGTTGAAGATGTGCTGTAGAATCCCACAGAGCTGCTCTGCACAGGACTTCAGGACTCTGGGGCTGACACCATCTGGACCTGGTGACTTATTATGATCCAGTCTCTCCAGTTGCTTTTTCACTTGACTTCTATCATTCTGTTTTTAAATTATGAAGTTTAAATAATAACCCTCAAGGAAACAATGAACTCTTAGAAGTAGCAGAGAAAAAGTCCAAACAGATACACAAATTTGAAACCAAAAACTCAAAGAACCAAAAATATTGGCAATATATATTCTTTTAATTTATTTGTGGTGACAGGAGCTTAGCATGCATGAAAGTGTTTGTCATGTAATTGGCGGGTTGCCACTAGTCTGAGTCTCTGCTCTCTCTCCCTCTGACCTTAAATCCTTGGGCAAGACATTTCAGCTGCCCTCCCTGCTGTCTGTGATCTGAAGACTGTCAGTCTGCCCCAGGGCAGCTGTGGTTTGCCAGCATCAATGTGTGAATGTGTATGTCCTCTGATCTGAAAATCACTGCATAAGAACAGGTCCTTTAACATTTATTTTACTAATTACGAACAATGAACAGTGTAAAACATACTTAGCAGGTAAGAAAAGGGAGTTGGTCCATCAAAAACAGTAAAGAACGAGCATCTTTACACACTCCGTGATGACCAGAACAAATACATATAAAATGCTTAATTGGCTAAAAAGTAATCTTACTTTTCATTTATATTCTATGGTGCATCACTAGTGCATAAGCAGAGCTTGTAAATCTTTTCATCATATACCATTTTGGACTCAAATTCACCATCTCTTTTACACTCTAAGCTCAGATGAAGTCTAAAAATATAAACATTCGAACTACAAATGGATAATAATGAAAATCTGGTAAGATGTTTGATTTATTGCAGCTTTGCATTTTAAGCTGGAAATCTGATACTTAATCTCACATCAGCCACCTGTGGTGTGCAACTTATGTTTGAGTGCTTTAAATGTACAGACAGTGGTTGTGGGCCTCTTGCCATTGACTGGAGTTTGCCAGGGAATGACTGTATTGGCCAGGCTCCCTGGACAGAAAGCCATACCAGCCAACTATAATCTCAGCCTTAAATCTGAACCCATTGTGTAGCTTAAAATGATGGAGCCTGATCTTCAGTTGTTAAAAAAGGAACTTTTGCAAAACAAAAATGCACATGCAGTGAGTGAGATATTGGAGATTTGAAAAGATGCCTACAAAGTGCCGAAGTGATTTTGGAGAGCAGGTCATTAAAAAAGGTTAAGTTCAAATTAATAATGATCATAATTATATATCTATATAAATAAGGATAACATAATTTTAGTTGAGGCCTGTTTCATGAGTTTATTTTTTTAATTCCTTCTGTTTAAGCAGGGTTGCAAATCAATGTCTGACTCTCATCTTTTTCATTTTCATAGGAGTTTCTTTTTTACTTTTCTCAGATTCTAGTCATTTTTGTGACCGATGTGAGTTTTTTTTTTTACACTTAACAAGGAGTACCAACAATTTTGTCCATGTGTGTAGTTAGCAGACCACCTTTGCAGACATTATAAAGTTTGCAACTTTTTTTATACAGGAAAACCCTTTGAAGATCAGACCCTTAGATGGATATGTTTATTGTATAGTTTAACATATTGATTGCTCAGTGAAATCTTGCTTTGTCCAAGGAAAGTAGACTTGTGAGTTGTTGAAGGCCTAAGGTCCTGGTTGAAGGTTGCTGACTATTTCCCAGGTTGCTGTGCTATTGGTGTTTTACTTAATGGTATAGGGGAGGATTTTCGTGAATTTTTGAAAAGACCCGCCCTCTCCACTTAAAAAAAAAGCACATGAACAACCCTGTACCCGCTCCCGAGAGGGGATGCCTATTAAACGTACGGATGCCTATTAAATGGGCTCACATAAGCCCATTTCTCCTTGTGCACGCTCTGTTAAAAAGTTTCTCTTCTCATAACTCATACAAGCTAACTTTCCAAAAGAAGATTTGCAATTTCTCCGCTATGTCAATCTCACCACCAGTAAGTGAAAATTGGGATCAGGATGTAGGACATATCACAATTATGATTGACAATTAGGAGGACCACTTATTTTGATGATCCAAACTTAAAAAGAACATCCTCCACTATACCTTTAAGATTTGGCCCAGCTTGGACTGAATTAATTGGTGTTAGTAGCATAAAAATAAAATGTATTCCAGCAAAAAGAACATAAACATTTGGACTGTTTTTTGTTATTGTTCTGTGTGAAATTACACCTGACACACACAGAGAAACCACTCTCACCAAGCCCACGCTGCAGGCTATACAGCATTTGTCTGAATTAGTCAACATGCAGCCTCAGCAGCAATGAGATTAGACCTTTAATCCACAATGAGATGAGGAGGCACAGATACATTTGCCTAAAAACCCTCATTCTATTATAGTTCTCTTAGAATCTTGCCTTTTGAAGCTTGATTTACTGCTATTAAAATGAAGTGTGAAAGTGGCGATGACTAAGAAGGAAGTTCAAGAATAAATATAAATGCTCCCGGCTTTTAGGTGGTGTTGATGTCTTGTGTGGGATGATGTTACATGAATTGTGGCTTAGCGGTTCTTAATATGTTCACATTTAAACAGTTCCTACCAGAAGGCTGACTCAGTTAAAGGTGTTTTATCATCCTCATTTGTTTAAACGATAAGTAGGATAAGGAAACTTTAACTCACCCTAAATATCACCCTATGCTACAGCTTTAAAACATTGTGCTATATTACTGGTCATATCATGTTTGATGTAGAGGTAAGATTTTTAGTGAGAGAAAGTAAAAGAATATATAGCCAGTAGTCTAGATGTATAAAAAAAGAAAGGGGATGGTGGAATTTTTTTTTATTTTTGGAAGCACACTTAGCCTAATAGCCTAATAAATATAGTCTATTAACCTTGAGTAATATGCAGGGTATAGTTACTACAAGTCAGGTACGCCGATCATTGACCTGACCAAGGCAACTTACAGTAGGAATGCAGTCAGTCCCTGGACTGGCATGGTTATCACTGCCCCTAAATAGTTAGAGAACATCAGAAACAATCCGCTGGACTTTGTTTCCAAGTATGAAGACATTTCGCTTCCCATCCAGGAAGCTTTTTGAATTCAAAATGTCTGAATTAGCATTGGGTTTGAGGGTGATTGTTGGCCTGGCTGAATAGTCCTTCACTCTCCTGTACAGGGGCTGGGGCTGCTGGGGCTGTACAGGAGAGCGGACGACCTCTTCTATTCAGCCAGGCCAACAATCACCTTTAACGACCCTGTATAAAGTTCCTTATCAGTTTTAAGGAAAACTAATAAGGAACTTTATACAGGTATTCTTATAGGAAAATGTGTGTTCTTTACATTTGTTGGAGGTCGTGTGTATGTTATGTGGTCCAATGTGTTTCTACTATGATTATAAGAATGATGCTGCAGGACAATATTCATCAAAGTATTATTTAATCATTTTTCTCTTAAATTAATATGTTTAGTCGATGGGAACAGGATGGTTTGTTTAAAGGGGGTTGAGATACATAGTGGTTTGGATAAAATGGTAAAGGGGTCAATTTGAATTCATTGAGGTTTTTTTTTGTGATTTGAGTTCTATGATTTCTCTGCATGATTTCAGAGAAAAATGTAGAGATACATTTTCTTGTGATATTCATTAAGAAAAGCCTATATTTTTCCTACTTTTGTCTATCAGGCTTTATCATAACCAACACAGTTATCATTTAAAGCATACTTTTTTTTTTTTGCACCAGCAGTAGTACCGTACTTCATATTTGGAGTCTTTCAAGATCAGTCCCATTAATGATAAAGGAATGGTGACTGCATTCAATTACATTGTGCACCAGTGAACTATGATAAGAACAGAATTCAAAAAATGATGCAACATGTTGTCAAAACTGGCCCAAACTAAAGCATGCCACCTGCAAATCTTTTTTTGATTAGATGGTTTCTCTTCTTATTTAAATAGCAGTTTTTAGAAGACCAAAACTTGTCAACTCCTATTTTAACATTATGTCAAAAGCTATATCTAATAAATATCTACATTACTAGTCAAATAAATGGTTTAATTCATGTGTAGAACTGCTACTGAGCTGGCTAAGACATAGTGAGAAAAATATTTTTTGTTCTCTTTTGTTACACATTGCCTTACCTCTCTTCATTATGCCTGTTTAGTGGAGTATCAATTATAATAAATAAGATTCAGTATCAAAGCCAAATATAACACTCTCCTGCTCACTGTATCAGAATGATACTGTTATTAGAATTAGTTTCAGATCAAACGAAAATGATTTTTTTCAGACGGCTGTCTCTCTCTGCGAACCATTTCTCTGGCTTCAGATACTTCTGTCACCATGGTGCCTCTTCATCTCTTGACGTAAGCAGGACGAGATGTGATTTGATGTCTGCGACAGCCGTCTGTTCTGCATTTCCCTTCTCTAAGAATGAATGTCATGATGAAGAGTTAAGAAATATTGCTAATGTTAGAGTAAATAAAGTGTTGTAGTAAAAAGAATGTGGTAAAAATAAAAAAGACCAAGCATTGTTTTATCTGATGCTTTTGAAGGAGGATAAATTGTGAAATTACTGCTATAATTTAATCTTTCTCTGTGTTAGGTGCATACCTGGTGCCCTACTTCATCCTCCTTCTCCTCATTGGGATCCCTTTGTTTTTCCTGGAGTTGGCAGTGGGTCAGAGGATCAGGCGTGGAAGCATCGGGGTGTGGAACTACGTCTACCCACAGCTGGGGGGCATTGGGGTTTCTAGCCTCATGGTAAGTATGTTATGTCAATAAAATTAACTTAGGATAGATTATCACTCTCCACAACACAAGAATCAGATGTTTAATTTGATTTAGTTGAATACTTTTATATACTCCCAATTTCCCAACTTTTCTTACAATATTGAAAACTGTTTAGGGAGTAAAACCATTTACAGCACACACAGAGACGGAAAGAGAGGTCGGAAAAAAGAGGCGATAGGAACTAGGAGGAGAGGGAAAGCGATAGAGACAGGAAAGAGTGCATAAAAAGAGAGCAAATAAAGCAAAAACAGACAACAGAGAATATATACAGTAACTCCTAGAAGTCTGCTTCCATGCCTGCATGAGATTAGAGGAGCACAAAACAGAGAGAATAGCAGCAAATACAAGAAAAAGGACAACAAAAAAGGCTTTAATGAACATTAGCTCTCCCTTAGATTTCCATGTGTACCGAAGATATATATATATATATATATATATATATATATATATATATATATATATATATATATATATATATATATATATATATATAGTGTATAAAGGATTTACAAAAATTCTTCGGAAGGAAAATCAATAGCAGGTGAATCTGTATAGCAGCCAGACTCGCCCTACAGGGCCTCAGGATTTATAAAGAGGGAATGTGAGCCCCAGATGTCAAAAGGCACCCCAGATCACTGGAAAACAAGGAGGGCAGACATACAGTAGGGATGCCCACACCCACCAGTGAAGGGCAGAAGAGAACACCTGGAGCCCGACCCCCCGAGGGGTCAAACGCCAAAGGGGCCCAGTCCCAGGGATTAAGGGCAAAATAGCTTGACTGTTCTTCAGTGATTCGGTAAATAAACATTGCACCATGTCGATATCAAGCTCTCAGTCTGGAGGAAGAGTTTAGGGACACAGATTTCACATTACTTGCATAGTGTAAAGTTTGAACACTTGGTGTGGACAGGTTTAATCTGTTGGTCCACTAGGCAGTCTAAGTTATAGAGTCAATACAGTAGCATTACCTCTATAAACTATCACCAAAGTTAAAATTAGGGGTATAGAGAGTAAAGCAACTCCTAGAAGTACTTTTTTAAAATGTAAATGTAATCATTTAACTACCTGCTTCAGTTTTTTTTTCTATGTTGATATTTTAGAGTCAAAACCTGGTGTTTTAATTACACAATCCCTCTTTAAAATAATGCTCAATCATTTTAGGAGAAAAAAAATTTAATAGATCGAAAATTTCACTTCCCTTTTTTATCATATATGCACAAGAATTGGACTTGTGTTTAAACAGATCCATGTGGGTGTAGTGTTAGCAACATTAGCAGTTTGCTAGAGTTCATATACCCTAGTTTCCCAGTCTCTTACCCAATAGGTAAAAAATTACACAAGCAGCAACACTTGGCGGCTGTCAGCATTTGAGTCTCCGAATAAAAATTTTGGTGGAACAGGTAATATTAGTGCCCTTCCGAAATTCCTGTCATGAGGACAGACATTGTGCTTTTTGGAGCATGATTTGGGCTTTTCTGGTTTTGAACAAAGAGCCTATCCGAAAATACATAGCCATACATAGCAATCCAAATTTTCCATCAGATTTCAATTGAAGTCCTACACACATTTTCACAGGAAAATATACCGATTAATGTATCTTCTAGAAACCTATAAGGGATATTCTTAATGCTCTCTGCATGTATGTATATTTGCTCCTGAAAGATGTACAATACAAGTATAGCATGCCCCTCACAACTAGTTGTGCTTCTTCAAATGAACTGCTGTTGCTTTAAGCTATATAAAAACAGCCTCCATCAGTGATCTCTGCCATAGCATGTCCTCATTATCAAGAGTATTGACCCACAATGTCCCCATCACATTATCGTCAGCAGCTTAAAACAGCCTGTCGGCACCTGCATCCCTCAGTCAGTGAGTCTTCAGCGTGTGCCAGTCATCCATTCAATCCAGACAGAAATTTCATCAGTCTAATGTAAACGAAAGGGATGTGGATCTGTGGCTGGGGGCAGTGAGGCGTGTGGCAGCTCAGATGTGAGGGAGCTTGTGCGGCTATAAATACTACCTCTTTGAGGACCACAGCCTTGGCGGCTGAAAGCAAACAGTTCAATAATTCATACCGACTTCGTCTTAAGCTGATGTGTGCTGTGTGGGCCTGCATCCTGACTACCCTCGCCACACTGTGGACTGTTTGATTAATGCACCTTTCTGATGTCTTTCTCCTGTCCCCACAGGTGTGCGGGTTTGTTGGCCTCTATTATAATGTAATTATCGGCTGGAGTATCTTCTATTTCTTCCAGTCGTTTCAGTATCCGCTTCCTTGGGCTGAATGCCCTATCAAGAAAAATGGAACCCAAGCCAGTGAGTTTTTCACACAAATACACAATGCAGAAATTTAAACATCCAAATTTAATTTCTACTTACTTACTGAGAAGCTATTCAGAAGTCCAAATATAGAGGAAAAAGATCAGAAATGGATCTCTAAAGGCTATTTCATCATGTAAGGTTCAGGAATGTAGTGTTCAGCGTCAAGGAGGACGGGAAGCCTGAGTTTAATCTATATCATAATAAACAATGGGCAGAAAAAAATTCTAAATATGCTCAATTGGTAGATACCGAGACAGATAGACACCCCAAAGACTTGAACTCATTGCAAAATTGTGGTTACATAAGATTTTAACTCAGGGGATGCTAAAGAGACATTACCTAAGTTTTCACACAAAATATCCTTTTAATTTGACCTTTTATGACTAAAAGATGTTTGATGAGCAGACTGACCTTAATAGTTCAACCTGTAGCATATTTTCCTGAATTTAGTTCAGGTCAGAAGTTCCCACTGTCATGATGGGTTTTAAGGATCTGACCCACATGCAGAGACACACTCAGACGCCAAGGGTAAAAGTTAACAGGTTTATTGGGGATAGCAAAAACACAGACTGAGAGATATACAGCTAGGTAACACAGTTGGATTACAATGATCAGTTCAGGGAACGTATGAAAAAAGGCTGAGGCTTGAAATTTGCAGGAGAGGCACTCACGTTTAGGGGGCTCTTGGTGAATCTTTGGATCCAGTTTGTGGGGCTTAATCCTGAGATTAAAGAACTCGTTGGAGGGCGGACAGGCAGACTAACGTTGGATCCAGAGGAGTATTGGAGCGGACTGTCACCGGGTTTTCCTGAAAGTGGACTTGAACGGATCATGTGGAGGTTTCCCCTTGCTCAATGTGACTCAGTTTATCCTTCCAAGGGAGTAGAAGGAAGGCTTCCTTCCGGAGATCAAAAGACAAAGGCAAGCTTAGACTCAGAGAGACAGGGCTAAGGTTAGACTCTGCTAATCTAAGTTTGGCCAGAGTACCCAATACTGGCAAACACTCTGGCGTCGAGGTGGTGACAGCCCGCTGCTCAAGTACTCCTCCGGTCATGACCCAACGAGCTGCAGGTGTGCAGAGAGGCCCAACGAGTGCAGGGCACCGCCTTGTGGTGGAGAGAGAAAAACACAAAAAACTACCCACACAAACTGGAATCCTAACACCCACGCTGTACGGTGGATAAGATGTGAAACGCGTCGATGTTAAATGGGTCTGACCTAGCAAACAATAAAAGCGTTATATTCAAGATGAATTTTGTGGATACTCAGAAGATACTCAGACACCAGTGGCAACACCACATAAGGTGAATAATTAAAAAAGATAAACTTGTTTAGCATGAACAAACCTTGCAGTTCTGAGATTTGGCCATAGGTGACAGTATCATTAGGAAACTCAATAATGCCTCTTGAAAAGCACATTGTGTAACTTTTGGCCACTAGGGGTGCTAGACCTGTACGTTTCATGTCTATCGCCCCTAGTGGCAACATGTACTGTAGCACTGCCACAAAAGACAACAAACAATCCTGTATCTTTTAATTTGGGGACCGCGCTAGGCGTCTAGGTTCACCTCGGAGGGTGTTAGAAATGCTGCTGCGCTCTAAAGAGCTTTGCCGGGGCAGGCTGGACTGCGCTGAGGATCAGCGGCGGAGCTCCAGTGAAGAGCGACTGGGTTGGACGGGTGTCTCGGTTGGCTTTTGTTTGTAGCCTGCTAGCTTTCTCTGCCCCATTTTGCTTCTGCTAAACATCGAAAATAATAAAAAAGATATATGACTGTATACTAGGAGCAAAGTGTTAACTTATGAGTCTAATAATAAAGTTTAGAAAAGGGAAACTCCTTTCCAAGATCGACTCTTGTTTTTCCTCATGCATGATCCCTTTTACGTTTTTCTCTTCAGCCTCTTCAGAAGGTTTAAACTTTTTCTTTACTTCAACCATAATCAGTAGTCGAGCAGGCAGAAAAATTGTAGAGCAAAAGCTTTAGCTCCATGACTATATAAGAGCCTGCGGCCATAAAGCAATGATACGTTCTTCTAGGTCACCTGGCCAATGACGGTGCATCTTCTCCCAACTTACATAGTCAGTATTTCAAGAGAGGAGCCTGCTTGTAGCAATGATGGTGTCAAGCGCTGTATATTAGCCTGAGGAATCATTTAAAATAACTCCTATGTGTCAACTGTTCAGGTTACAAAATCTGTGATATGCCTTCAAATTACAACACACTTTTCTGATTTAAGTTTAAAGAAATGCTAAATCTTTTTGCCTTTTAAAACAATAACTTTTTAACTGGTCTTTCACATAAAATCCTGGACCTCCTCTTCCATAAAATCCTTTGTCTAATCAAATTAGACAAAGGATTTGGGTCAAGATGTGTCAAAATATGACAAATATCAATGCCTCCAATGCTTATCAGTAAATATAATTTTCTACATAGTTTGTAAATGTATAAAGATTATTTTCTCTGTTTTGGTTTTTCAGCTTTTTCCTGTTGCTGCCTTATTCTTACATGTCTTTTAGTTCAGTATGTATCACTCTAAGTGTTGCCTCTGTCATCCCTTTTTAATCTCTTGTGGCCGTTCCAGTTGTGGAGCCTGAATGTGAGAAGAGCTCAGCTACCACCTATTTCTGGTACCGCCAGACTCTGAACATCACCAGCACAATTGACGACACCGGTGGCCTGAACTGGAAGATGACCCTGTCCCTGCTAGTGGCTTGGATCTTGGTCTGCCTGGCCGTTATCAAGGGCATCCAGTCCTCTGGGAAGGTATGCCGTTTTTGTGGCTTCCCTGAACCCACAGCCTCCATACATTCATAACTTTTTTTTTTCCCACATGCAAAGAATAAAAATATAATGATAGTACATAAAGATAACATATAACAAAAGCTTCCTTTTTAGATTTTTTTTTTATAACTGCTTTATCCGTATCTATGAGGGCATTTCTGACTTTGCTTTTCGGTCAAAGGTAAAAACTAAGCCGTTTTATCCACTTGTGTCTATTTTTGGAACTAATCTAGGTTATGAAACCAAGAGAAATTAAACATTGATAATCTTAAACTGAACCAAGGAACAGCTGTAATGAACAATGCTGTGCTTTCAGGCCAAAATATGAGTCATCCAGCATATCTCTTTACTAAATCCAACTCAGTTCTGACACATTTAAAAAAAAAAAAAACCCAGTGCCTGGTAATCCAGTTCTCAGAGCTTTAACGAGTCCCTGATATGCTGTGGGAAGGATTTTCTCTTCCATGGGCTCATCTCACAGATTTGCTTTTAAGCAAACATGGAGCAGCTTTGGGACTGATCCAGCACAAGTGTGTGTGGAAGTGGGTTTGATTGCACTTCTTCCATGTGTGAGGTCTCAGAAAAAGCGTGTCCATGGCAACACTATGTGATGTGTGTTGACTTCCTCTCCCTCTTTTAGGTAATGTACTTCAGCTCTCTGTTCCCGTATGTGGTGCTCTTCTGTTTCCTGATACGAGGGTTGCTGCTGAAGGGTGCGGTGGACGGCATAGCTCACATGTTTACTCCCAAGGTGAGAGAGATTAGGCAGTTTTTTTTTCTATCAAAGGAGCTATCAGCATATAGAAACTCTGGGATGAATTATACTTGATGAACTAGAGGGGTTTAAAACATTTTAAACAATAGAGATGAGAATTTTTTTTGCTTAAAGCAGAGAAAAAATAACCTCCAAAGCAGGGAGTAAGGTCACAACACAACACTGGTCAACATCTCTAATAGTTCAAGCACCACTCATTAAGATCCAATTACATGAAAATGTCAGCACTACATAGATTATAGATGAGCGGTGTCTCCATCTAGTGGTCAATGTTCACTGAAAAAACAGCACCAAAAAGCTTAAGAATGCAACTACATATTTGTAAGTCAAACATTTTAAATAGAGTCTGTCATTAAACATTCTCTGAGAATATTTGGGGAAAGTATTTCATTTGTGGATTTCGTGTTTAATTTTTTCTTTTTTGTGTGTTGTTTTTTCCAAAATTTACCATTGGAAAGATTTTAAAAAGTGTGCTAAAAAAACATATAGCGTAAAGAAATGTACTGTATTAATTTTCTTTTGCTATATTTTGAGACAAGATAAGAAATACATTTGGTTTCAGAGGAAATTATTTAATTCAATTGTATTTACTGATAATTGAGCAGGAAGTTGGACTTATTTTTTAATTTCTCTAGTAAAAATGTTATCAGAATAAATCTCCATGATTATGCACATAATTCTGGGTTAGATTTGATCTTTTAAAACCTTCCAAATAAAATAAATGCCATGAATACCAGCTCTACATAATGTTGTTATAATGTTGTTGAATGTTTTTTGCAACATAAAACTCAGTTTTATTATATAACTATATATATATATATATATATAAACATAAATATCTATAATATCTTTATCTATCTATATAACTCTTTCTATTTACCTGCCTATCTATATATGTATATTGTAATATTTAGTCATATATATATATATATATATATATAATATTCAAATACATTATCTAAAGCTGGTATTCATGAAATCTTTGATCTGAATTATAATGCAACCGCTTTGGAAGCTTTCTTAATCATATTTAGTTACTTTACCACAATTGTCCTACCCTGCTAACATGAAACAATTGTGTTAAATTAACTAAATATGATTAAGTAAACGCCAGAAATGGTTGCACTACTTTTTTCTGTGTATATAAGTTTCTAACTGCCATTGGAAACGTTTGACTACATCAGTAAATGCGAATGAACATTGTCTTTATGTTGATATATTTTCCAAACCAGCTGGAAAAGATGTTGGAGCCACAGGTGTGGAGAGAAGCAGCTACCCAGGTCTTCTTCGCCCTTGGCCTTGGCTTCGGAGGCGTCATTGCGTTCTCTAGCTACAATAAGAGAGATAACAACTGCCACTTCGATGCAACACTGGTTTCTATCATCAATTTTGTCACCTCCATCTTGGCCACTTTGGTGGTGTTTGCTGTACTTGGCTTTAAAGCTAACATCATGAATGAGAAGTGTGTTGTCGAGTGAGTATGTCTCACAGAAACAGTTGCTCTTCATCAGATGTAGTTTTTTTCCTTCTTATATTAACTAACATATCTACTTTTTTCCTTATCAGAAATGCAGAGAAGATCCTGGGTTACCTGGAAAAAGGTGTGCTGAGCAGAGATCTCATTCCTCCTCATGTCAACTTCTCCCACCTGACAGCACAGGACTACTCGGAAATGTATGGCGTCATCAAGACGGTGAAGGAGGACAGCTTTGGCCAGCTGGGTCTGGACCCCTGTATCTTGGAGGACGAACTTAATAAGGTTATTTTTAAATTATGCTGATCCTGGAACAGTTCAAAGAAGTAGAGAAGCAGAAATTAGGATTATTAAGTCAACGTCTTTGTTGTGAATGTATCTTTTAATTGCCTTCAGTTGTTTTGTTTTTCTTTAAGGTATTTGAAATTCAGAAAAGTATTTAAGATTGATAATGTCACTTTGGTTAATTATCTTACCGGTAGTTAAAATAATTAATGAACTGATAGATACAGTACTTTTTTGCTTCTGTGACCATCTCCACCTTCTTTCTCCCTTTAAGGCGGTTCAGGGTACCGGCCTTGCCTTTATTGCCTTCACAGAGGCCATGACACACTTCCCCGCCAGTCCATGCTGGTCTGTCATGTTTTTCTTCATGCTGATCAACTTGGGACTGGGAAGCATGATCGGAACCATGACTGGAATAACTACACCCATACTGGATGCCTTCAAGATCCGCAAGGAGATCCTGTGTGGTAAGTCCTGATTCTTGTCTTCCAGGTCTTTTACATTGTAAAAATTAGAATGAGGGGTCAGATTTTCACTCAATCTTTCTCTGTTATGTCTCCTTCAGTGGTTTGTTGCATAATAGCCTTCCTGCTGGGCTTGCTGTTTGTTCAGCGTTCAGGGAACTACTTTGTCACCATGTTCGATGACTACTCTGCTGGTTTGCCACTCACTGTGGTTGTGATCCTAGAGAACATCTCTGTCGCCTGGATATACGGCACTAAGAGGTAACATGGCTAGAAATAGTTATTTGGACGTTTGTGTTGTTAGAAGAAAATAGGAAAAATAGATCTTAAGCTGTCGTACAAAAACCTATTGCATCAATCACCTCTAAGTATTGGTAAAAAAAAATATTTTCATAAAATAAGAGCAGATCTACGATGGCGCAGAAGTACAAACCACATCAACAAGTAAAAATTTTAAAAACGCAACAACATTTTCAGAAACTCAGCCACATATTAAAAAACACAACATAATTTTCAGAATCACAATGACATTAGCCTACTGGAAGAGGTAGATCTTAATGTGAAACCGGAGAGCTCGCTACCTGGACGACGCCTTTTCGGTTCAAACATTGAATAAGTGAGCATGCTGTAAGCAGAATGACTTCCTGTTTAAAAGCCAAATGGTGTCCAGTCAGCGAGGTCTCATTTTTCAAGTCAATGCCATTGCATTTTGAATATTATGTTTTGTTTCTAAATATTTAGTTTCATTTTGAATATGAATATGTAATATGTCTGATTTTTTATTCGTATATATAAAAAAAATCTGTCACAACTAAATTACAGTTAAAAAAAAAGTCACTTGAGGTAGAAGAATATTTCTCTTACAAAATCTCTATGAAACATTGTCTAATCCCACTGTCTCGAATCTTCCTTTGTACTCAGATTCATGCAGGATCTTGAGGACATGCTTGGTTTCAGGCCATACAGTTTCTACTACTACATGTGGAGATATGTGTCCCCAGCTGTCCTGGTGGTGCTCATTGTTGCAACAGTCATTGAGATGTCAGTCAATCCTGCAGGATACAATGCATGGGTTGAAGAGGAGGTCAGTTTCTCCTGGCTGTCTGTGTCACTTGTTTAATATTATTATACAGAGAGTACATAAAATTTGGAAAAAGGTAGAACAATAATGAAAACATGACCATTTTCATAGAATTGTATTAAACTCATTACCAATGTTTTCTGCTATATCTCTATGAGCTTGTTGTCAAAACGATACTCATATATATTTATATCTATATATATCATATCATATATATATATATATATATATATATATATATATATCCCAGGATTTTACATATACTGTTAATCAGCATAATTTTTCATACTTATGGGGGTAAACCCATAAAATAAAATGGGTTTGCATTTATGCTCGTTTTAGGAATGCAAACCTTGTTTTAAGCTGAGTAGTAAATCAGCTTTGTGTGTGCTATCAATTTTGCGGGTACTACATACGCAAACCTTACATAGCCATACTCACCATGGGGGGTCAATATTCCTATTTGATTGTGTATGTATATTTTGTCTAAACATCATTTTCAGATGACAATGTGGATTTTAACCAGAAACCTGTTTTACTGTTGCTCTTTCCTGTTAAGGGCTCAGAGCGTTTTCACAGCTACCCTCCATGGGCGTTAGCCATGGCATACTCCCTCATCGTGGTTGCCATGCTGCCTTTGCCAATAGTCTTCATTGCCCGCCAATTTAACTTGGTCTCAGACGGCTCCAACAAGCTCTCGGTTTCCTATCGCAAGGGCATGATGAAGGATATCTCCAACCTGGAGGAGCAGGATGAGCAGCGCTTCATCCTCGGAAAGAATCCCAGTGAGGCTCCCTCCCCCATGCCCGCCCACCGGGCATATCTTGGGCCTGGTGGCACCCAGGAGATGACCAACACCAATTATGGCACCTCCACCAAGACGGGATACCAAAACATTGGCTCTCCTGAGTCTGAGCTATGATCTAATGAGCTTCAATGTTTTCATTCCTATTACAAAAACCCAACTCAGCTAGAAGAGAATTAAAGCAGGTGAAGAAAACTTTAATACAGCATTCCTTACAGCTTAACCTCTAGAGAGAAAACCCTCCAATTTCTCCTTTTTCTGCTTCATTACTAATTTGCAGTACTTCTTTATGTTTTTGCAAGTAACTGACAGCAGTGAGCAATACATTACAATCAGCATTTCTGTTTTTATCGAAAGCATTATTGGGGCTGAATTAGAGAAAATGATATACAAATGTATAATTGTTATAGGATATTTTGGTGGGACAGATCATACATAGAGATGCACTAAAAAGTTTGTGCACAGAAACAAGGAATCTGACTTTCCATTGCTCACAACTTAATCAATCACAGTATGTAGAAATCAGGTTTCGATCTGCCAGTCAGGAAACCAAAGGGCCTCATGCTAAGCTCAATGCTTTGTTTGAGGAGACTATTCAATATAAGAATGTTCTTATAACTTTTTATCTGCAAGAAAGCGAAATTTCAGAAGATTCCTTGATTTAGAATACTGTTGTTTAATTCTTGTTATCTTTCAAACTCTGTCACTCCTGAAACATGTCAATGCAACCCTAATGTGAAATATTGAGAATTTTGAGAATTTTAGAGTTAACAGTATATAATTCCTAGAATATTCAGAAAAGGTTGACTTTTTTTCTCATGCTAGCGCCAGTATTTTCTAACATCTTTAAATATCCAAGCAGAAATGCACCACAAAACTCTCTCTGAGGTTAAATGCTTGGCAATGCCACAATGCTTTGGCAAGTAAACAATCAAATTGCTCTGGGTGATCAGTTTATACTTCTGCTTATTTCATTCAAGAGAGGCTGTGGGAATAGGATTGCAGAAGACTAAGAAGAATCAATCATACTTCATCTTATCAGTACCAGAAACCTTTTCATCTAGTCAATAACTGATCAAGCGTACATCTACAACAATATGTACTTTGAGATTATTTACAAGCACATTCTATATTTTTATTTGTGTGTGCCTATCATGCATCAGCAATAATGCCAGTGCTCATAAAACCACGGATCTCCTTTTATCTCTCTTTTCCCTTCTAATGTACATTAGAACACTGTATATATATATAGATATATATAGATGTTGGGCAATAGGTTGAGACACCACCATGCGTACACACTGCAATAGAGAAGAAAAAGAAGTTACCTCTGTCCCTCATCATTTCCACAAGCACAGGACCACAGACACCTATGTTTAGAGAATCTCTGAGCCTTAACACTTGTCTTCGAACTTATGTTCCTCATTAATTGTGACAGAAAGCTAAGTTTGCCTGTGCAGGGCATGTTTTATACGGAGGCAGACATAGAAGGAAGCTTGGTTAATATAAGCAGATGAGCAAGTCTGAGTGCTGTCTGCTGCTGAATAAGAGCTCCTGGCTTACCTGCCTGTTTAAAAATAGAGCAGCGTTACCCAGGGGAAGCCGTGGCAACATGCACCATAGAAACAGATTCTGTTCTGATGTGGAGGAGGAGGAGGAGAGTAGCAGACACCTTGTTTTGTCTGCTCCACCTGCACATCTATTCATACCCCACTTACAATTCTTACCAGTGTTGCTAAAAGGACTGAATATATGTGGTTCACTGCTATACCTCTGTGGACCAGTACTTCATCCCTGGGAGGATGATCTTTGGGTTTAGGTTTTGTACATTCCTCTAATAGTGACCACAGCACTCAAGCTATACTTTCTGTTATCCAAAGTGTAAAAACAAAGCCTTTTTTATTCTAACTTCTAATCCTGAAAGACAGTGGCAATGTAACGTGATATTAATGTTTTGAATAAGTGATAGTACCTGGGTTTGGCCACTAGATGTATCTGCTGCCTAGCAGAGGATCCAGTGGTGTAATTTTATCTGTGGCCCCTCCCTGTTAGAGCACCAATACCTGAAACTGCCACCAGAAATGGATAAAAGCAGAATCACATTGTGTGGTGCCTGAGCAGCATCTGTGTTGTCTGCCTTATGCTTTTGTCATTTGATCACTGTTTGCTTTGTAGTTTGTTTGCACTGATGTTTTGTCTTGTTCACACAAGCACTTTAATTAGATTCAGACCCTGGAGTTGTTTGTTAAGCACAAATGTGAGGAAAAACATGTTTCAGGAAAAGAAAAAAATATATATATATAAATGAGATGTATAAAGAAAGTGATTTATGAATGTTATCTACATGCACAGGCAACCTTACACTTTTCCGTGTCTACTGATTTCACATTTGGAAATCTGTGCAATACAGTTATCTGGAGTTAAAATATTCTGTCATGTAATACCTTTAACTCCATTTTGAGCCAGTTTCTGAAACTTGTGCAGAAAGGGGTGATGTGAATGCAACATTTCCATGGACTTCAAGCCCTTTATCACATTAAAACACCCAAAGCAGCAAAATTTTAACGATCTCCAAAAACAACCCCAAGATTTTCTTTATCTTTAGCTTTTGTAGAGTTAAATCACAATGCACTTTTACAAATAGTAAAGGCACTTATTACATTTCCTCACTATTCCTTCTCTTGGAATGTCTTATTAAACTTTTTAAAGATTTTAATGTCTAAGTTAAAATTGCATGGCAGACGTTTTACCAATGACACATAACCTGAAATAATAGCACATATTTTATAAATCTGCAGCTTCAGCTGGAGGTCAAAGCACATTTTAGGATAGCACAACTAGAAGCATGGACGGTAATGTCATGATGAATAAAATGTTAAGTTGAACCTTTGATCCCATAGCCACAGGATGGTGGTTGATGAACGAACATCTCGTCTACTTAAATCCAGGATCCTACAAAACGTTAAGCACACATCTGCACAATAAAACACACTGCCATCAATAAAAGTAACAGAACTGCCATAAACATTTTATCTGCAGACAGAGACATCGATTAGAGCACAATCCTAGTTACCTGCCAGAGTTTATGGTATTATAACTGATGATCTATGTAGATTTTGCCTTAAAATTTACAAAGATGATGACTCAGGCAGGAAAAAGCTATTATCACTTGGCTATGATTAGTATGATTGAAAACAAACACCCCAGGGTCTTTTTGTCTTATCCACATGTCCGCTGTGTCACAAGCATCTTCTGGAATTTATCTCAGCTTAGTCAACAACATGAGCTTGACAAAGTACCAGTAAATCTATTTAAATGTGCAAATAGTCTTTATGTGACCAAACATAGTTATATTTATAGTATTTAAGATGATGTATTTAACCTGTAAATATTGATGTATATTCTGATAAATTCACACTGAGTATATATGTAGTACGAGTGACAGGGTGTATACTTGAGCTGTAAATAATAATTGTATATTTTTTAGATATTTTTTTGTACTGTCAGTACTGTTACATTGGTATCTGTTGGTTTCAGGTGTTTTTATGTGATTGTTGTTCATGATAATAACCGAGAGAGCCTGTGTGTCTGTGTGTGCAACGGGGAGCATCTGTTTGAAGTGAAAATATGTATTGGTTTTCGGTGTTTCGCTCTGTGTTTTTCTCCTCTTTCAGTGTTGTGTGCCAGTACATGAAATCAAATGTTGCTGTTGAGTGGGACCACTAACGTTTCAGCAATCTCTTCTCTCTGTCTTTCTCTCGAACTGTGATAGAATCCAGTGCAAAACTTACAACGCAATCAGGAAGACATGTATGACTGTAACAATAAAACAGGAACTATTTTGGTGAATAGAGTGACAGTGTAAAAAGAATACACTCTGGTATGAAGAGGAATTAAATTAACCACTTTTATTGATAAGAGCGTTGTGTGTCTTTTATTCTAATGTGTAAACATGAGTTTACTTAAGAGTACAAAGAAGACATTAAAAAGGGGAATTTCAATCATATCTTGTTTCGATGATAGATAAGCATATTTCATTTCTTTAACCAGCAGTAAAAACAGATCTTTCATAGAAACATGTTTTGACTAAATGAGGATTAGTAAAACTTTTACTATTTCCTAATTAACAAAATAATGACTTTTTTTTTTTTCAAAAAGTTTAGAAGATTTGTGAAATTACCTTTTTTTTTTAAATATTTGCCTACATTCTCAGTGAGACTGTAATGACAGCCTTGTGATGCCCATTCAACAATTTGGTTTGTTTTACTAACAGTCTTTTAAAATAACTGTTAAAGAAAGATAATAGCAATATACAGACCTATTTAAACAACCCTGTAGAATAGAATAGAATAGAATAGAATAGAATAGAATAGAATAGAATAGAATAGAATAGAATAGAATAGAATAGAATAGCATAGGTAGCCTAGGATAGAATAGCATATAATAGAATAAAATGTCATAGAACAGTATAGCATTGAATAGAATAGATTAAAATATGTTTATTGTACCACAGAGACAAAAACAAGTAGGAGATGGGTTATAGATACACACATGTGTAAATGATTATTTAGATCTTAACCATTAAAGTCAAAACTACAGCAGAAGAGAAAAAACATTATAAATAGTCTGGTTCCTATTTATAACATGTTACGCCTTTCTGGAACATGTATAACCACAGTTTGTCTTCTGTTAAAAGGTTGGTATAATAACTTTTTTGTATTTAAAAGGTATTTTTAATACCGTTAGAGGCACACTTCTTCTATTGTAGTGATATTATTGGTCACAAGTGTGTTTAGTATGTGCCAAACACCACACTTCCTTTTTTGACTATTATGATCTTTAGTGGAGAAAAGTGTATATCCTGTGAGCATCCTGTAAAGAAAGCTTTTCCATCATGTTGTAACACAAAGGTTTCACAAACAGGCTGCATTGACCTGAAAAAGTCCAGAGAGAAGGGGGGAGTAGGAAGAGAACACCTGCAGCTTCTTTCACAGATATTTATCTCACAACAACACTCACAGCTGCAGCGGCTGCTTCCTAAATGTTCACCACTTCCTCACATATTCTAAGAAAAGACTTTCGATGGTAAGCTTTCACACTTCAAGTAGCACTTACCAATCAACAGTGTGCTTGTAGGCTGAGATCCATTAGTATTTTTTTAATATTGCTTCTTCTGCTGTTGTTTTTTTCCTCAGCATAGCCAAGTCATCCCATGTGAAGCATGATGAGAGCGCTAACCATCAGTGCTTGACCAATAAGCAAATCCGAAATCAAAGGGCTCTACCAGTAAAGCACCAAAAATGAACTTGATAAACAAAGTTTAATCTTTTTTTATTTGAATACATCTTCTCACACAATGCAGCACATTATGAAAAATTATTGAAACAATAAAATATTATTTATATGAATTATAACAAAACAGGAAAACACATAGTTAATAACAAGCAGCACTGAAAAGAATCCCCTGAAACATTTTACATTCTTTATTGCAATTTATTTTGAGGATTTAGTTAGGATGTTTTTATATTCATTCCCAATAGAGAGAGCTAAAATCACTGCAGCTTTACACCAGTTACACACATTTAGAATATCAGTACTCAGCATTTTTCTGGATGTGTGATCTAATAAAACATTATGCATTCAGTTTGGTGTGCTTCTGATTGTTAACATTTGAGTGAACCCCATACTGAAACTGTTTCACATTGAGCACAACATTGTTGAGTCTCACACTCTTAATAATTTACAGAGATCTAAGAACAATTGTTGTAAGTTAATTTAATTTGTTTGGGGATTTTTTTTTTTCCGCAAGAGGATGAAGTAAAAGTTCTGCACAGCTGTAATGAAATGAAATTTTGTTTTGAATATACTCTGTGTATACTATATGACTATAAGAGTTGTCTAAGTCTAATGGCTTCAAGTCAGATTTTGTCGCCTGGAGGTAACAAACTATAGAAACTATGCATAAAGGGAAGTTAGGAAACTCACACAAATGTCAAAATAAAACCAACCATTTACAGAAAGAGATTGCTGAAAAATAATCTATTTTTACAGAAGAGTAAAGTGGATTTATTGTGCTCTAATGTTGCAACTGTGTTGAATTTTGCTCACACCTAATTCATACAGAACCATAATCATAAATAAAAGAAGAGCCAAGCCGGAACTTTAGCAGTTGATCCAAACTAAACATCCTTTGTACTCAATGCACCTTGCCTTCCGAGTTCCAATTAAATCGATGGGATCCAGGACACCCACTGCCAACCAGCCACCTGAAATAACTGTCTGAACAAAAACACTTTTTATGTTCTATTTGTTTCTCATTATTGCAAAAATAAACAGAAGGAAAATATCCTCTTGTTACAGACAGTTACATACAGTATTTTTTTTATTTGGGAAGAAATATATAAGAATATAAATGCAAATAGTTTGCCTGATGAAAAAAAATAGCCATATTTTTGAAGATGAAAATAAAAATATCATTAGTTGATCATTTCCTGCTGTTTGACACCAATCAACATCTACTGCCGCTGTTTTTACAGCTCTGTCTGACCACAGTTAACAAATGGATCTACTCATTTCAGTAGATTAATGTTTAAAAAAAAACTAAAATGGATAAACCAAAGGTTCTTGCTGAACTGATGTACCTAAATAAGTTTTTTTAATAGGTTGGATTACAATTCCCTTCAATTCGACTAATAAGAAAACAAAGATTTAAATAATAACTGATTTGATTACATAGAATGTGTACAACACAGAGAAAATACAAACAGGCTACCTGCTTTAAATTATGACTCTATTTACTAAAGTAAAAAAAATTAAAACATCCAATCCAGATATGAAAATCTAATCCCAATATTTCAATTCATGCATTAAAATGAACTGGCTGGGAGGCAGCTGGGGATCAGATGTTTTGGCTAATGTACAAATTAAACATGAATCAGTTAAGTTAATCAGTTTGCCAAAAATAAAAATAATAGACTTATATATGCATATGTAGAGGTTTTGATCTCCAGCAGCTGCTGCTTTTGCAGCACGTCACACACTTTAGAAGCTCAGAAGCTCGCGAGGCACTGCTCCTGCTGCTCAAAACGCGCTGCAGGACCTTTTGTTGCTCGTTGATGCGCGTCAACCATTGACTTTGTGAACTAGCTGCCTCTGCTGCTTCTAGAACGTGTGGTCTGACTGTAGCATTACTCTGATATTTGATGGTGAGATTTGTGAGAAATGGTTTGAGACTATTTGACAAATATAGGTTAGCATAGATTATCAAAAACCTTTATATGTTGATGATATAATAAATCTGACAAACATCATGTCATGTCCGTATTTTAAATATTTATCAATTGAAAGAGCATCTCTGACAATAGAAATATCTGTTATTAAAATGTCACACACCTCAAATCTGCCTTGTTTCTCTATGCATTTAGTCCAGCAGCTCTTTGGAATTAATGGAGATCATGTTTGAACAAAGAACATCCTCTTATATCGGTTAAATGTCAGCCTGTTCTCTGCATTAACAGGCTTGTTTTTACTTGTTGCATCCACTGGGACTCCTAAAACCTAACATGTGGTCATTTAATCCACCCACATACAATCAAAGGGTTGTTTTTTCTTTTTTTTGGACGGAGCAATTAGTAAGCATGCAAGAATATAAATATTTAACAACATTACATTAAACATTTGAGATGTTGAGCCTAGCACAACAACTCCTTGATGAAAAACATTTGGGCCTTAATGGTTTCCTTACAACCTGGAAGTGGTGGTGGGAGGTGTCATGTCTAATGGGTTTGTCATTTCATGTGCACAGGCTTCATCAAATGGGATAATTGCAGCCATTCAGAGGTATTGTTGGAGAGTAGTGCAGGAAAAGCCTTTTTGCAATGACAGCTGAAGAGCTGCAGGCAACTGATTAGACCACTGCTGAGCAGGAGTCCATGGTTGCTTTCTCTGTCTCCTCAAAGATACGTGTGAAGGTAAAACCCTTACCATGCAACTGAAAAGGCTCTACTTGAGAATTTAGATTTAATGTTAAACTCTTGTGTAGGTGGATTTTGTCTGAAAAGTTTTATTCTAAAGGAACCTTCAGTAAAGTTGGACATTTTCTCTTTTACAGGGGCAGTGAATTGAATTGTCTAAATGGACCAAGTATTTCAGAGGACTGGCAAGTGAAGCAAATGCACACACTAATGGCTGAGTGATTTCCCGCCTGTTGTGAGACATAATGGCTGAGCCTTTTTACAAAAGACATGCCTTCACCCTGAGAGGAATCTGATCTAACATAAAATAAATGGTAACTAAAAGCTTTAAGCTGTCCAAAAGCTTTTCATGCAGTTTCATGGACTAACTAGGGTTCAGCTGACCTCAGATTTCTAATCAAATCATTTCTGCTTGTGGTTTGCATACTACTTTTTGTGTGGTTAAAAATGTGATGTAGTTTCTTCTACATTTACCTGATGATTTAGCATGCATATTAACTCAAATAATTCAATGGCTTGAAAAAACATTATTACCCTGTAATTATGCATTTGCCGATGTGGAAAACAGCTCATAGCAAGGAATTTAGCAATGCTTATACGAAAAGAAAAGCTGAAAAAAAAATTTGGGTTACTGACATTGCTTGAAAATAAATAGTCAATACATAGGCACAATACATACGAGGGCAGAGCCTCATATTTACATTTCATCCTGGAGACTGGACTGGATAAAGGACTCTTAAGGTCAGTGGGGAGCCAAATTTCAGATAGAGACAGATTGTTTGGTTCAGGGTGGCTGTTATTTGTTTCTGCCAGCCTTCAGAGTTTTTGTTGGAGTCTCATAATGGTGAAACCCAATAGAACAGAGGTAATGGTCCACTCCGCCAAGATCCAAGCTTGCAACTATTACTTAGTCTTGCTGATTTAT